CCCACCCCCCCCCCAGCCCCCCAGCCCGGCTCAGCGCTCGGGGGGCTCCGGGTCCCCGCACTGTCATGTCGATCCCGCGCTCATCACCCTTCCTACAGCAGAGTAGAACCTCTAGCAACTGTCCTTATGAAGACGTAGTCATGCCGTGGTGGTGGTGGTGGTGTCTTATGCCATATGGTGCCATATGAGTTGTTCTTGATATTCTCGCGTATTATTTGTGTCGTCTTCATGCGAGGGCTTGGGCCAGGAGCGGAGTTCGGCTGTCATGGGCGCAGACCCCGGCAGGGCACAGGGACGGGCTGTCCCCAGCGCTCGCAGCCGCCTGTGCCCCGGGGGGAGGGACTGAGTGCCCCCGGCCCTTGCGGGTCCCGTCGGTGAGGTTTGTGGGATGGCACCCACTGGACCCCGGGACGCACTTCCAAGCGGGGAGCCTGGAGCTGCTGGGGCCAGGAGCAGCCCGACCGAGTCCTGCGGGAAACCTTCTCGAAGTGCTGGAGCACACGGGTTGTTTTTGCCCACAAACAGAGAAAGAGAAACTGCAGAGGGAAGGAAGAGTTCTGCACTGTTCGTTAATGAAGTACAGTAACGAACCATTCCCCATATCATCTCCTGCCGGGCTGTAAGCAGACGCGTGTTCCCCAGGCAGGCGATGGCTTTGCAGGTCACCGAGGCGCACGGTGTGCCCAGCGGCAAAGAGCCCGCGGGGGGGGACGGGTCACCCCGAGCCCCGAGTGACGCCGGTGGGCTTGTGGGCAATGCCAGAGGTTTTACTCAAGAGGCATTTTATCAATTGCATGTAGGGAGCAATCGTTCTTAATCAGCAAGCTAAAGAAACGTGAACTATTGTCATTGTACTGGCATGGAAGCAGAGGCCAATGCGCTCGGGATGATTTTCGGCCGCTGGCTCCCAATGGGAAGCCGCACCGGCAGATCCCGCTTGGCTGCTGCACGGCGTTTACAGCATGCAACCCCTTGAAATTAGGCGCAGTCACAAGTCAGCATTCGTGAGCCTAAACAAGCGCATGTCCCTCCGTGCGCCTCGCGTGCCTCCGGGAGGAGAGCGGGGACACTCACAGGGCAGCAGCTCGGGGCAGCTGGAGGAGATCAACACCAAAGAAGTGGCACAAAGGATCACGGCGGAGCTGAAGCGCTACAGCATCCCGCAGGCCATCTTCGCCCAGCGGGTGCTGTGCCGCTCTCAGGGCACCCTCTCGGACTTGCTGCGCAACCCTAAGCCTTGGAGTAAACTCAAGTCCGGCCGGGAGACCTTCCGGAGGATGTGGAAGTGGCTGCAGGAGCCGGAGTTCCAGAGGATGTCGGCCCTGCGGCTGGCAGGTAGGTG